TTTTTTTTTTTTTTTTTTTTTTTTTTTTTTTTTTTTTTTTTTTTTTTTTGGTACTGGGGATCGAACTCAGGACCTTGTGCTTGTCAGGCAGGCGGTAGAACCACTGAGCTAAATGCCAGAGCCCTCAGCTTTCTATTTTTAAGGTCTCTCCTGGTTTCCCAAGGTATATCTGTTCTGTAATTTACCTAATCTCTGCCCCCTGCCCCACACCTGCACCCCAGAGACCCCAAGTAAAATGTTCAGATTAATCAAGTGTGGTGTGCACGCCTGTAACCCCAGATCATTGGAGGCTGAGGCAAAAGAATCACAAGTCCAAGGGCCAGGGATTTAGGTCCATGGTTCTTTTGCTGCCTGCCTCACAAGCACAAGGTCCTGAGTTCAATCACCAGTACTCTCCCCCGCAAAAAATCACAATCCTGGGCAACTTAGTGAAAATAAAAAAATATTTCAAAATAAAAATTTGAATTCAAAATAATACCTTGAGCTGGGCATTTTGGTGCACACCTGTAATCCCAGCACTTGGGAGGCTGAGGCAGGAGGATCACTGAGAGTTCGAGACCAGCCTGGGCTACATAGTGAGTTCCAGATCAGTCTCAACTACATAGTGAGACCCTGTCTCAAAAAAACCAAACCAAAACAACAGCAACAACAACAACAAAAACCCCACAAAATAATACTTTGAATATTTCAAAGTACAAAGGGCTAGGAGTGTAGCTCCGTGGTAGAGCACAGCTGGGTTCAATCTTCAGTCCTGAAGGAAGAAAAAAAATGAAGTTTAGAACCAGTGTCCATGGTGCTATCTCAAGGCTGGCCATTTGAAGTAGGAAGGGCCAAGGTATGGGTCAGGCTTCAGCGGAGGGATGCCACCAGCAGGGGGCGCCCCCCAACAGGCCTCTCCCAGTCGTGGTCAGCCAGATGCTGGCCTAGACTCTAGGCTGCTACCCAACACCCAACACTGCTTGTCCTAGACGGCCGGTTCCTGTCCTGCCGTGACTCTTCCCTCCCCGTGTCACCTTGGCAAGTCTCTGAGAATCTCTGGTGGCAGATGGCTGGGGGAATGGTGTGTGGTTTTCTAGGCTGCCATAAAAGGTCTATGAGGCAGGGGACGTAGCTCAGCAGTGCCATGCCTGCCTGGAAAGCACGGGGTCCTGAGTTCAATCCCCAGTACTGGAAAAAAGAATATAAATCAACAAAGGGCCATGAACTAGGTGGCTTAAAACCACAGAAAGGAGTCCTTGCATGGCTCCAGAAGCAGGAATTCAGGTTTCAGGAAGGCCCAGCTCCCTCTTGATCCTTACCATGTGAATGTGTCATGCCAGTCTCTGCCTCTGTGTGCAGCCGATTTCCCTGGGTGCTCTTCTCCTCCTCTTCTTCCTCTTCCTCCTCCTTTTCTTTCTTTGAAACAGGTCTTGCTGTATAGTTCAGCCTGACTTGAACTCACTATGTAACCCAGTCTGGCCTTGAATTTGTGGCCATCCTCCTGCCTTGGCCTCCTGGGTGCTGGGATTATAGGTGTGCACTACTGTACTTGACATGGGTCTCTTATAAGTCACAACCTTTAATGTAGTTCACTGGTAGAGTGCTGGCTTAGTATTCTGGGGGCCCTGGGGTCCTGCTCTATTCCAGTATGACCTTATTTTATTAACTACACCTGTTTCAACTATTTCCCCGTGTAATTGACATTCTGAGGGACTGGGCTCAGGACTCCAGCATAGATGCAGTTCAGCTCCCTAAGAGTTGGGGAAGGCAGGAGCCCGGGGAGGATAAGGAAGAGAGCCTAAGATTCGGTCTCTGAGCCAGGCTTATTGAGGCCCTGCTGCCCCCCACCCCCTGTGCAGAATCCAGTAGGGGTGGGCCGATACCTCAACACCACACTGATGGAGACCAAGGACACACGGCAGCAGTACTGGTCCCTGTACCTGGGCAGATCCAATCGCTATCCTGCAGACCCTGCCTGGGACAAGATCCTGCAGTGAGTGTGGCCAGAGTGGCAGGAGAAGAGCAGGGAAGGGAGACCTGGCTCAGGGCTTGGATAGGGGGTCCCCATGGGACACGGCTGCTGTCCCTGATGCCAGCCAAATGGCCAAGACAGTGGAGAGACTAAGTTCAGATTCCACCTGGGCCTCTGCCGGGCCATGTGAGGTGGGATGTATCCCTTAAATTCTCTCATCCTCATCCCCTTTTGCTGTCCAATGAGCAGATGGCAGAGGGAACGCAAACAAGATGATGTATCTAAAGCTTCTGGTAAGGAAAAGTCCTCATTTGACACTCAATCCTCCACCCACAACCCACACGGGCTGGGCTTGGCCCTGGGTGGCTTTGCCACATGCAATCTGTTCCCTGGTGCTCGTAACTCATCTCAGGAGGTTGTTTCGAGCCTAAAAAAGGAGAGGTGCTACAGGAGTTTTAGGGCGCAACTCCTGGATCTCTGATCCTGGGGTTCCCCACAGACTAGGTTGACCATTTATCCTAAAATCAAGGAGTCGAGTGTTGTGCAGGGAAGGGCAAGGAGCTGTGGTTAGTGTGACTGTGTTCCAAGGACAGAGAAGACAAACCTGTCACAAGGACAGGCTCAAGATCTGTCCTTGGGGGCCAGACAGGCGCTTTGGGGCTGTATAGAAAAGGGGAACAAGGACACGGGTTTAGGGTTTGCATAGCTGGCAGGGTAGGGAAGCCGGGTCGGGTCGTGGTCTGGTTGATCAGTGTCTTAGGACTGCTTCTGGGGGTCCCAGAGAGGCACATTGCACGAAGGGACAGTTCAGTTCCCATGGAGAGATGGCAGCTCCCGCTCCAGGGGCTGCCTCAGCTCCCATGTGGGGGTGACCTCGTCATGGGGTGGTTGGTGAAGCTCTGCTGCTCCTGGAACCCGAGGTGGCTGCAAGTTTAGGACGGTGACTCGAGACATCGGAGGATCGAGCCGGGCGTCTGGACAGGAAGGAGTAAAAGCTGGCAATTGGATGTCTCTGAAAACTACTTTAGCTACTCTGATCATTTTTCTCTTTCGTTTTTTTTTTTTTTTTGTACCAGGGATTGAACTCAGGTCCTTGCGCTTGTGAGGCAGAAGGCAGAACCACTGAGCTAAATCCCCCGCCTTCCTTCCTTTCTTTCTCCTTTCCTTTCTTCTGGTACCAGAGTTTGAACTCAGGACCTTGTGCTTGCGAGGCAGGAGTGGTACCACTGAGCTAAATCCCTGCCCCTGCACTTTCCTTTCTGAGAGCTTCTAGGCTCTTTTCTCTGTCCCCTGTGTTCGGAAATTTCATAGTGATGGGACCAGGTCTCACCATCTCTTGTGCTGGGTGCTTGGTGGGCTCCTTCCATCTGACTACTCAGCATCTTCTATGTCAGAAATTTTATTTCGAATTTTTTGTTTTTGATGGTTTTCTCTCTTTTGTTTCCTTTTTATCGTAGATGTCCTGGCTTGGTGCTCTAGTTTTCATTCATTCATTTTTGTATTCTCCACCTCCATCTTTTCTGTCCTTGTTTTCCATCCTTACTATTGCCTGTTACATTTTTGTCTATCATGCTTTTTCATTTCCAAGAGCTCATTTGTGTTCTGCACTGCTCTTTTTGTTCTTTGAAGAGCAGCTCATTCTGTGTCACGAATGCATTGTGTTCTTCTATACGGGGTATTCATTACGATTTTCCTTCTGCTCTCGGCTCCCTGCATTGTCTTCCTGTTCTTCCAGGTTCCTTTTTTTCTTTCTTTATTTTTTTGGTACCGGGGATTGAGCTTGGGTCCTTGCACTTGCAAGGCAGGCCACTGAACCACTGAGCTAAATCCTCGGCCCCAACGTTCCTTTTTTTCATTTGCTTGTTTGTTTGGGGCAGCAGCACCACTGAGCTGAATCTCCGGCCTCCAAGTTCCTTTTTTTCTTCTCTTCCTCATTCACATGAAGAGGAAAGCACTCACAGTGCCATGAGTGTGGGTGGGATCTGTCTGAGGGTGGCTGGGGCTTGCTCATTCTGACACCTGGTGGCTGCAGAAACAAGACAGGGCCAGGTATTGCAACCGCTCAGGCAAAGCTTTTTGCGGTGGGAGTGGGGCCACTGAGTTTCAGCTTTAGCTGAAGGGAGTCAGCTGGTTAAGAGAGTGACCAGGCTGCCCCAAAACAAAGGGAGCAGCATGCTGTTAAAATTTGCTGGGCTGAGTGTGGCCATAATGTGTTCCTCTGGTGGACGTGGACCACTAGGTGGTCACTGTCACCTTGTCCTGTGGCTCTTGCGTTTTCTCATAGCTGACACCCTCAACTTGCACAGACACCCCAGCCACGTGGGTCTGCGCCCTAGGATATAGGGCTGAAGGACATGAGGTGCTTGTGAGACAGAGGGGAAGCATCTGACTCTCCTGGCTTTCCAGGGCCGGCTTGAGTTGGGGGCATAGCTTTCTTACTGGCTTTTAGGGTCCTGTAGAGATTCTTTCAGGATCCCTGGCACCCCTGACAAACAATTGGACGAGATACACGAGAAAGGTAGCAAGGATTTACTTTTTTTTTTTGGTATCGGGGATCGAACTCAGGTCCTTGTGCTTATGAGGCAGGCAGTGGAACCACTGAGCTAAATCCCCAGCCCCGTGGGATTTACATTTATTGAGGGTAGAGAATAAATACACTCTGCAGAGTGGGAACAGGCCACTGAGAAAGTTCACAGTGGACACAGGTTAATGGCGGAGGTCTTTTGTATCTCCTGGTCCTCCGTCTGAGGTCAGATCTAGGCCGTCCTAGCAAAAACCCACTTGGTTTTGTGCCAGATGTAAATAAATTGAAGGCAGTACTTCCTGACTGACCTCAGGTGCAGGGTTTGGAAACTCTGTTTTGCACATGTGTTTTGGGTCTCTCTGATTGCCAGGTCACAACTACTTTCTCAGCCTGTTTTTCCCACCCTAATCTCCAGACTAATATCCTCCTGAGAGACACAATCCTCATTATTATTTTTTTTTAATGGGATGCGGAGGGAGAGAGAAGCAGTCTCTATCATCATATAGCTGTTTGCCATTGAAAAGCTGGCATCCCTACCTGCTGGAGATTATGTGCTGGGCGTCACTAGCTGGGCTGGAAAAAAAAACAAACCTGTCAATAGGTGGTGAGAAAAGACTACCTGTATGTCAAGAACTGTTGATCTCCTTGTTCCATGGGAGAAAGCTTGGTGAATTTGTCAGGAGAGTCATGGGCTGTAGTCTGGGTCATCATCTGAAGCCTTAAATGGATAAATTTCACTATTACACTGTGAGGGGCAGAGCCCAAATATGAGAAGGAGGAGATCAGAATATTTCCTGGTCAGTCTTAAAAAGTGGATCATTACAGATCTATTTACTAGAGACATTATTCTTCTGTGGTTTTTTTTTTTTTTTTTTTTTTTTTTTGGTTTTTTTTTTTTTTTGGTTTTTTTTTTTTTTTGGTTTTTTTTTTTTTTTGGTTTTTTTTTTTTTTTGGTTTTTTTTTTTTTTTGGTTTTTTTTTTTTTTTGGTTTTTTTTTTTTTTTGGTTTTTTTTTTTTTTTGGTTTTTTTTTTTTTTTGGTTTTTTTTTTTTTTTGGTTTTTTTTTTTTTTTGGTTTTTTTTTTTTTTTGGTTTTTTTTTTTTTTTGAGACAGGGTCTCACTATGTAGTTGAGACTGATCTGGAACTCACTATGTAGATCAGGCTGGTCTTGAACTCACAGCAATCCTCTGGCCTCAGCCTCGGTGCGCCACCACGCCCGGCTCTGTGCTATTATTTGGTAGAAGTTTTTTAGGGGGGTTTCAGAGGGATATTAGATAAACTAGCAAGAGCCTGAGAGCTTTAGCCCTAGCAAGATTACCCACATGTCAGGATTGGGTGGCTGAAGAGGTATTTTCGTGGGTGAGGTGGGGTTGACTTTATTGTAGAAAAGGTGAATCCAATTACCTGTCTCTGTCACCTTTACTGCAGAGGGTGTGGCAAGGATCAATGAAAAGGGGCCCTCCACTTGGGTTTTATTTGGTCTGCAGGACCCCCTTTCCAGGTTTTCATGAGCACTTGGTCTCCAGGGCAGACACTAGGTGGTTCCCTTGGGTCAGGAGCTGGCAGGACTTTGTTTCCAATTAGTTGGGTAGCTTCCTGTACTGGGCTCAGATTAATATGATACCGTAAGAGTCTTGTGGCCTCTGGGTCCACTAGTATATCAGCCAAGACCTCCCATATTAGCATCTCCAACGGACCCATATTTAGCTCTATGTTAGGGGAGTTTTGAATCCTCGTGAAGGCTGTTGGTAATAATTGGAGCCTAGATTCAGACGTCTCTTGGCAGAGTTTTGCTGGAGTTCACATTAGGGTCTGGTTGGCTCTTTCAACCTTTCCAGAGAAAGGAGGTCTCCATGGAGAATGGCAATAATACTTTCTTGCTAAAGCCTTGGTCACCCCTAAGTTATTTGAGAGGTAAAAGAAGGCCCATTGTCACTCTGAAGGGACTGGAGTAGTCCAAATCAAGGATGATTTTTTTGAGAAGCACCCTTGACTACCTCCACAACTTTCTCTGAATGGGTAAGGAAGCCCTCGATCCAACCTGTAAAAGTGTCAATAGGACCAAATTTGTTTAAATCCCTCACATGGTGGCAGGTGGGTAAAGTCTAATTGCCAGTCTTCCCCAGGGTAGGTCCCTCTCCTTTGTACAATAGCCCTGGTTTGGGCTATTGTAAGCACAGAGGTTATTATAGCACAGTGTTATGTAGGCACAGAGTGGGCAAGCTTTGCAGACCTGTTGGGTAGTTGTCATTAGTCCGAGTCCGGTAAAAATTCGAATGACCATTTCCAATGTAACATCTCTCCTCATATGGAAAGAATTATGCAGAGTTTTTATAGCCATCTGCTGTATCCCTTGAGGAAGGACCATTTTGTTTTCAGAATGCCACCCAAATCCCTTTTTAATTCCCTCTTGTCCTAAGGTCCATCTGTCTTAGTGGGTATAGAATGATTTTACTGGTTCCTCAGGAACTAGGAACAAGGCCAGGGTTGAGAAACTGTTAAGGCTGCCCTTCTTACTTCTCTATCAGCCTGTTGATTTCCCAAGGAGACTTTAGATGGGTCTTTTTGGTGTCCCTTGCAGTGAATGACAGCAAGACATCTTGGCAAGATAGACTGCCTCTTGGAGTTGTAAAATTTCTTCTTTGTGCTTTACAAATGATTGTTTATTAGTTAGCAAGCTCCTTTCTGGATTGCTGCATGTCACCAGAAAGGTATGGAGACTGTAAATATTTAGCCTCTTGCCTTTTCTTAATATCAATGCCTGAGTAAGGGATCTGAGCTCTGCTTTTTGAGCAGAGGTCTGCAGGGGAAGGGGTTTGGCTTCAGTGACCTATCATGAACTGGCAACTGCATAACCTGCCTTTCAGTGTCCTTGTTAGACAAAGCTACTTCTATCAGTGAACTGCACCTCCTCAGGGTCTTGGCAGGGCAGGTCACTGATATTCTGCCCGCTCACACAGGTCTGGGAAGTCACCTGTTCATGAGAGGGGCTACCCTCTGAGCCGGTAGGCATCTGTGAGTCAGGATTAAGCATAGTGCCAGTCTTCATGGTAACCCCAGGTGTGTCTGCAAGTGTGACCTGGTATGTATTTGCATAGCCATTGCCCTGTCAACCAAAAGTAACCTCAAGGTAGCTCTGGCCTGAAGAGAAGTCAGGTCTTATAGTTTTTGCCCCAAAGCTGGTTTTTAGCTTCTTTGCTAGCATAGCTGTAGCTACTATTGCCCTCGGGTGGGGTGGCCATTCAGCAGCCATTCTGTCTAATATTTTTGAAAAGTCTGCCACTGGAAGGGGTTCTTATCCCAACCTTTGGGTCAAGACATCCAAAGCAATTCCTCTTTTTTCTGATATGTAGCAGAAGAAGGATTTGGGCTCCTGGGACATCATAGAAGACAATGGTTTCTGTCCCCCACACCTCCTCACTTCATGGGGAAGGCACCTTACTCCCCACAATTACAGGAGGGCAGGAGAAGAGGGCAAAGGATGGGGGGAACCCAGGAATTCTCATGACCAGGACACTTCCCCACCCTCCCTGAAGCTGTCTGGAGGAGGAGACAAGGAGCATAGGCTCTCTGAACCCAGGAAGGCTGGGTTGTCTCACCGGGAAGGCTTCTCAAGATCTTAGCCTTCTTCCCAGTTCCTGAGGAACTGTTAGGAAAAGTATTAAGAAGCTCTAAGAGCCCAACCCCTAGCAGAGTCAGCTAACCATGACAGGTCAAAAGGTCGCTTTAAACATTCCTGACAGGCAGGAACCAAGATAAACGTCTGGTGCGGAACAGACCCTACCCCTTTGAACAATCCATGGTCCCACTTCCCCGAAGTCCCCACCCTTTGTAACTGAATGTTCCCGTAATTGACCCCTTTCTCGGAATTCCCCCTACCCTATAGCTTGTGGTTTTTTCCTTTAAAAACTGTGTCTCTACCCTGCTTCGGGGCTCAACTCCTCTGCCCCTGCGAGGGTTATGAGCTGAGCCCCAGCGCGCGCTGGAATAAAGACCTCTTGTGTTTTGCATCAAGAATCGTCTCTCCGGGGTGTTTATGGTGCATCGCGGCATCCCCGGACTTAGAGTGGTGGGATTCCTCCCTGGGAGGATCTTACAGAACCATTAAAATCACCCACCCACTTGTCTCTCCCCAACCCATCTTCCTGTCCTCAGCCCACCTGCTCTCGCTGAGCCCCTTTCCTTTTACCTCTTGGACTTCTGTGAGTGAAGCTTTTGGCGAGAGAGTTGGGAGTTTAAGTGAAAGAGCCTCTGAGGAGGCTCAGTACGGGGAGTCTCCTCTTCCCAGCTCTCATATATTTCCTGTGCAACACAGAAATTTAATGGTTGTTATAGCAACAACATGGCATCTCCCCATCCCCCCACGATTTGGCTCCAAGGGAGAGCAGAGTGGAGAGGCCATATTTCCTTCCTCTCTCCCTCCTTTTCTTCCTTCCTTCTACCCTCCCCCCACCTCATCGTCTTTTTCCTCCTTAATCCCTTCCCTTTCTCCTACTTCCCTTCTGGGTTTTTGGTCAGGGTAGTGGAGATAGTGACTTGAACATATTTCTGGGCTGATGGCCAGGGAAAAAAGGAAGTGGTAAAACGTGCTCCCTGCATGGCCTGGGGAGGTGATCATCCTGAGCACTAGGAGAGATGATGGCCTCGGTAGGGGCAGGGTAGGGGGACAAAAAGTTGATGATTCAATTAAATTTAGTGAACATTACCGGGGGGCCCTGGGGCCTGTCCTCAGAAGCTCAAGGCAAGTAGGGTGGAGAGGAGTGATTGATTTGGCACAAGGGCACAGCCAGATGCCACAGGAGTGTGAAGTGTGGAGAGACAAACACCCTGGAAAGGTGTTGTGCAGAGACGGAGGAAGCTGTGGGCTGCCAGCATGGGCGTGGAGGCTTGAACAGACCTGGCTTGTTTAGAAGTGGCAGATCTGCAGGGATGGGCCTGGGGAGGGGTGTGAAAGAATGCAGTGAGACAGATCCTGTTGGGTAGGAGGAGGAGCAGAATCAGCAGATGTAGCAGGAGTCTGGCCTTGCTGCAAACACATGTCTGCATATCAAAGCGCAGTAGCCACAGGAGGAACTCTTTTTAGGTACACAATTTGAAACAGCACACAGTAATGCAGTCATCAAAAGCAAGAACAGGGCTGGGGATTTAGCTCAGTGGATCTGGCGCCCGCCTTGAAGGACAAGGACCCAAGTTCAAACCCTGGTACCAAAAAAAAAAAGCAAGAACATTTCCTTGTGCTGAATGCAGTCAACCCACTCCTATCCTGGCCCCTGGCATCTCCTGCTGTGACTGCCATCTCTAGAGTCTCACCTTGTCCAGGGTGTCATATAATGACGACCCATGTGTAGAAATCCTTTTCTCTCATTTTACACCATGCCCTCGAGGGCCACCCGTGTTGTGTGTGTCAGGACTTGGTTCTTTCAGGGCTGGGTTGTATCCCATCGAATGGCTGTATCACCATATGTGTGTCTATTCTCAAGGTGCATATTCCCAGTTAATAAAGCCACCATAGATAAGCATTTATAGGTGTTTACGAAGACACACATTTGTTTTTGTCTTTGGTGGATAGGAGTAAGATTTCTAGGTCTTACTGGGGATTGAACTCAGGTCCTTGTTCTTGGGAGGCAGGCGGCAGAACCACTGAGCTAAATCCCTGGCCCTGATTTCTAGATCTCTTGGTAAGTGCTTGCGTACTTTATAAGAAACTGCCCAAATGTTTTGAAATGGCTCTACTGTATGTAATCCCGCCAGTAATGCGAGGGCTCCAAATGCTCTGTGTCCTTCTCAGCACTTCGTGTTGTCAGGGTTTTCTTCCCTGTAATTCTAGCCTCTCTCACATTGTATTTCATCATGGTGTGAATGTGCATTTCTCCATGGCAAGATGTTGGGCATCTTTTCATGTGCTTCCCTATATCTCTTCTTTGTTGAAGTGTTTCCAAATCTGTTGCACCTTAAAAAGATGGGTTGCTTGTTTTGAGAGTCCTTTACACATTCTAGGCGTAAGTCCTTAAACAGATAGGTGTTTTACAAATATGTTTTCCCACTCAGAAAGATTTTAATGGGAAGTAGCTCTTGCATTTTTAAAAACTTCCTCTGTGGCATTATTGGGCAGGAAAATGGAGTTAGGAGGCATAGAGAGAAAGAGACCATCTGTAAGGTCCAGATGAGAGATGAGGCTCAGGCCACTCCAAGGGCAGAGGGGACAGCAGGGAGAAGCAGAGAGGTGGAAGCCATGGAGATCCAGTGGATGGGAGGAAAGGTCCCTCTTTATCCTATGGGCCTTCTGCAGTGTCTTCTTACCTTCCTTCCTTTGACAAGTGCTTGTGGCTCATCCGCTGAGCACCAGGTCATGATCTAGGCATGGGAAAATACCAAGGAAGCATACAAGTCCTGCCTTCACGGTGGGGAAAACAGGCAACAAAAAAGGGCATAAAGTGTGTACCATAATGGCTGCCGGATTGATGCACACAGCCAGTGCTTCTTGTGGGAATGCTGCCTTCCACTGGCTCCCGGGATGGGGACCACAGTCCTCAGGAGTTCCACACCTAGAGACAGAACCCAAGCAGTGAGAGGAAGGTAGAACTGAGGTCAGGAGATCTAGGCCTGGCTACTGGCCCTGATGCTGGCCTTCAGGGTGACCTCTGGCACATTCCCACTTCTCTATGGCCCTTGGTCTCCTTCCCAATTCTGGGCCACATGACATTTCAGACGTTTGAATTTTTAATTGAAGTTCTTACAAACCAATATGAGTGCTCTGATGAATTGAAATGGGCACAAGGTCAATCTGTCTCCTCTTTAGAATCAGGTCCTTTTGTTGGAAAAGTTCTGGCGGTCACCAAATTTGGCCTCTTGCCCAATGTAGGACCCCTGGGAACACAACCAATAGGAACCTGTTCATCTCCTGTGGGTACCCCCCTGGGATGGGGAGCCCCTCCCTTCCCAGGGATCACATCTATGTTTTTTCTGTCTTTTTAAAGGGAAAGGATCACACCTGTGACAAAGGGCCGATGTCATCTGACTGTGGATCATAACTCAGATCCCACTCCATAGAACCTCAAAGGAGAGCCAGTGGCACCCACCCAGGGGGCCCAAAGCTGGAGGACAAATCTGGGGGTGGGAGGATGGCAGTGGGGGGAAGGATAATTGAGAATGCCTGGGAGGGGGAGAGATGTGGAGGGGTCATCTTGACTGGAGTCATAGGCCAGAGGTTACAGTGGGGTCACCCGGGGATGGCTATCTTTGGTTACAAGAGATGAGTCGTCCTGAGAATTCCGATCACCCAGTGACATGAATGTGGGAGCCCAGACAGCAAGCAGATGGACTGACAGATTGGAATGTGGGTGACCCCCATAACTCCTCCTACCGTAAAGTCAGAGAGCTGGCTTCCTCTCATTAAAGGCCAAAGGGAAGTGGGAGAGTGTAGCCTATTACATATGGTAACCCTAGGCCCCTCCAGGAATACCCTGTCTCCTTCTCAGGATGTTCAAGAGGACACTGCTGGCCTCCAGGCTGTGTTGAGCCAGTGGGGACAACTGGTAGCTCTGCCCCCAGAGTCTGCCTTGTGGAACACCCCAGTGTAGCCCAAAGGTGGGCCTGTGCGGGGTGGTGACAATATTCAGTTTCTTTCATCAGTGTTTCTTGTCAGTAAGAGATTGGTTGGGATGGGCATTGGACTGTCCCTAGAAAAGAAGAGACTGAGACCCCACAGCTTCAGCCACAAAACTCTCATAACAATAAAATTACTTCACTTTCTTCAGAGTGTGTCTTACTTTCTCACTTGCGTCAAGATAGTTGTTCCAGACGCAAGTAAAACCAACAACGTAGATCATCTACAAAGAAAATCCCACTGAGTCTTCAGAAAAGCTACTGGTCTAAGAAGAGAACTCTCAAAACAAGCAGCCCATTTCTTTGAGGTGCAAAAGATTTCGAAACACTTCATTGAAGAAGATACTTTACCAAGAAGATATACGAGTGGTGTGTTAGTCACTTTTCTCTCATTGCTGAGACAAAATACCCGACACCCAAAGTTAAAGAGGGAGAGGTTTATTTGGCTTACAGTTCATAGAGGCTTCAGTCCATAATCTGCAGGCTCCAAGGCAGGATGGCAGAGGGGCAGCAGCTCATGGCAGCAGGAACAGGAAAAGCAACAAGAAATCACAACAGCGTCTTTCTGCTCCTTTATGTTTTTGTTTTGGTACGTGGGGATTGAACTCTGGTCCTTGCCACTTGTGAGGCAGGCGGTGGAACCACTGAACTAAATCTCCAGCCCCTCTGTTCCTTTAATCTTATTCAGACTACTGGGATTAGGGCGATGTCAAACCAATCACTCACGTGTAGTGGTTTAGTAATTGCACGTCCTTAATCCTAGCGTCACACATTCCAGATTTATCTACCTTTGAAAAAGACTGCATGAGGCTTGCAACAGGTGGCAAATCAGCTCAATGAAAAGCAGCTCAAAATCATTAGTCACTAAGGAAATACAAATTAAAACCGCAGTGAGATACCACTGTCCACTTTTCAGGATAGCCAAAATGAAAAAGTTTGACCCCGCCAAGTACTGGAAAGAAAGTGGGATTCTTACCTTCTGCTGGTGGCAGTGTAAAACATACACCCATCTTGGAAGTTGGTGTAGCAAGGTGAAAAGTTAACCATCAATCTATCATTTCACCTCTCCCAGCTGTTTGCTTTAGCGAAAACATAGATATGCCCATGCAAAGACTGCTCACAAGTGTTCCCAGTCACCTTTATTCAGAATAGCCCAAGGCTGGAACCAACCCAAGCATTCACGAGGCAGTGAGTGGGGAGACGACCAGGGTTTACCAGCAACATTAGGTCATGACTAACCCAATTGTGCAGCTAAGAATGTGCCCTTTATTATAGCCTAGCTGTACCTCACCAAACAGTTGTAGTTTGAGAGAAAAAAATAGCTAAGTGCAAAATAGACCTGGGTTGGATTCTGGAATAGGAAGGGAACTACAGTGCTAAAATTCGTGGAATTCAGATAAGGCCTGTGGTTTAGCTAATAATGTTATACCAGTGTGAATTTGTTGATTCTGATCATTTTGCTGTGAGTGTGGAGACGTGGGGGGGGGTTGGGTGAAGCCAGGTGAGGACAATATAGGAATCTGTGTTATCACTGCAACTTTTCTGTAAATCTAAAATTAAAAATAAAATGTTAAAAATATCTGCAGTAAAACTTTTATACATTTATACTGACATCACCTCATCATGAGAAGACTGGCAGATTTGCAGTGTTTGCCTATGTATAGGAAAAACCTATGCAGCACCTTTACCTTGGATGGTTCACTTAAGAACTTTTCCAAGAGGTAAGCAATGAGACTGTGTGCGAAGCCCTGTGCGCAGAAACACAAGGTTATCAGGCCAGCAGGGCTGACTTTACCTGCCTAGGGAGCCGTGGAACTGCGAGGGATATCACAACCCTCAGCAGCTGCCCTCACTGCTCAGTAGTTGACAGATAAAGTACCCAGCCCCCTCGGTCTTTATGGGGAATAACTTTGAAGTGTGGTTTACCCTGGCTTCCAAAGTTTCCCCAGTGCAATTAAACTCTAGCTGCCCACAGCAGGGAAAAGTATACCCATTACTGGCTGTCACCTTTTCTTGCTCCCCTTCTGGTGTTTTCTTCACCTCCCAAATAGACTTATACCCTTACTTCAGAGTTCGCTTCTAGGAAACCCAAACTCTGACAAATGCTAATGTGTTTATTTGTCTGGCATCACAGTGGATCATTTTGTCACTCCCCTGGCTTGGGTACCTCATTTTAGAGACCATTGCTCTGCTTTCTAACAAGAATTTCATCTTTCTGTCCAGTCCGTCCCCCCACCACCCCTCACCCCTGCTGACGCAGCTGCAGGTAATCACAATTATAAATGTGTCCTTTGGCTGTTGAGCTAAAATCTGGCTCCTTGTGACCTTTACCCTTTGACCCAGGCAGGGTCATGAAAAAACATGGAGATCTGAGGTTTGTTGACTGGGCCCTGCTGAGGCCTCCAGCAGCCCCTGGGAAAGGAGGCTACAGGACCTGCCTTAAGGGCTGGAAGGCAGGCTGCATTCCTGGAATCAAGCAGCTCCATGTTGGTTACGCATGAGACTTTTCCAGAAACCGTTTGGGGAGAAAAAGAGCTGTACAGCCAATAAAGAAATAAATGCTAGCTTCATCTCAGAAAACTCAGCTGAACACTCAGGCACTTAAACCTCATGAAATTTGTGTCAATTTATCGCATGGCTCTAGTTGCTGGCGGCCCCACAGTCCTGAAGGTAGCTGCTTGTCTCTGGCTTGACCCTGAGGCCTCCTCCTCAGGGGCAGTGTCTGTTCCCCAGGCATCTGGATTCCATTTCCCTCTCCCTCCCACTTCATAGACCTGCTGCAGCTCTACCCAGGGTATGGGAGTCCAACAGAAATGATAATGATGTGTGTTGGGGGGTGGCTTGTAGAGCTGCGAATAGAGCAGAGCCTCGGGGCACAGGGCCAGCGTTCCTGTGAGTTACCTCTGGGGGGTTGTCACAAGGAGAGGTATCAGAGGGCCATGCTGGGAATTTTATCAAAGCCACTGTGGTGGTAAATTTTATGTGTCCATCTGGTTGCCAGAGACTGGAGCAAACATTATCTGGGTTCTGTGTAAGAGGGTGCTTTGGGACAAGAGTAACAAGGCTGCCAGCTCAGGGGCCTCATGGCCAGTGGAGGACCTGCGTGGACACAAATGCTGAGCGGGGACTCTTCCTCCTGACTCTGGAGCTGGGATTCCCCTGCCTTGGACTCCAAAGCCAGCATCGGCTCTTCCTGGGTCTCGAGCTTGCTGGCTTTTTGCACTGGGGCCACACCTTGGGCTCTCCTGGGTCTCCAATGTGCTGGTTATAGATTTGGGAACAGCTCTGTCCCCAGCACCATGTGAGCTGATGCCTTACAAGTCTCTCTCTGAGTGTGTCTCTTGCTCTCTTCCTACTAGGTATGATTTAAAAAATGGTGAATATTTTAATTTTAAAAATGCCTTATAGTAAAAGACACAGTGCCACTAATCTCCCTTAAAACATTCTCCCTTGCTTTGAACACACTTAACCCATCCTTCTGGCCATTTTCTGAAGCAGTCTGGTTATCTCTTTTATGAAGATCAGTAGTTGCACGTTGTGGCTGCCTCTGTGTCCTGCTGATTCAAAGCAGTGATATTGTTTTTTTTTTTAATGGTCATTTTGACTTTAGGGAAGAGCCAGAAGTCACAGGGTGCCAGACCCAGGGAATAGGGTGGATAAGGACACATTGTAATTCTCTTAGGAGCCTGCCTTTCAGTTGGATGGCACCTGGCAGCGGCATTCACCATGATTGTTTTTCTTTTGTGGTACTTGGATGGAATCCAGGGCCTTTGCACTGACCTATGCCCCAAGATTTTTGTTAGGTTTTGTTTTAAAATTTTGATCAGGGTCTGTCTAAGTTGTCAAGTTGCCCAGGCTGGGCTCCAACATTTGATCTTCCAGCCTCAGCCTCCAGAGTGCTGGGATTGCAGGTATGTGATACAACATCCAGCTGCTCATTCACCACAATTTTGATCACAATTTGTAAAGATTGTCACAAAAGAGGACTTCCACAACTGAGTCAGAAAGTGCCAAGAAGGTTAGGATGTGTGTGATCGAAGTGAGGGGAAATATTTTGAGGGGGATTAATGTCTCAGTAAATTTTTAAATTTAAACTTTCACTGTACATTTTGATCACTCTTCCGTCTTTTTCACAGTTTCCCCCTACCCGGTCTTGTGAGCAGGGCTTACAGGACTTCCAAGATCACGTGTGTGAGGTGTCCTCTACTTTCAGCTTTTTGAGGTCACGCAATGACTGTATTGCTGGCATGGCCATCTCGGTCTTACACCCTCTCTGATCCCCCTGCACAAGGCAGAGTAGATAGAGCAAGATGTTGGGGGATCTTGAGGGAGTTGCTTCCCTCAAAGTTCATGGTGTCATGGGCCGGGGATTTAGGTCAGTGGCACTGCACCTGCCTCGCAAGTATAAGGTCCTGAGTTTGATCCTCGGAAACAAATAAAAAAAGTTCTTGGTGTCTTGAACAAGAACTGAGCAGGAAACTCAGAAAGAGTATCATGAGCAAGATTTATTAAAAAGGAGCAACAAGAGCAAGCGAAGGAAGTGACGGTCCACAGGGTGAGGGCGGGCCAGTGAGAAGAGGTCCTGTCCCAGCTGGGCAGCTAGAGGGTTTGTTCTATCCTGGGATTATGGGAGGGTCTATAGCTGGGGATTGGCAGGAGTTATGGGCCAATGGGGTACATGACTCAGCCCACTCATTGGGAGGGGGAGTTTGACCATAGAAAAAGCGTCCTGGCCTCAACTGGGGGCAGGGTGTCAAAACCGCAGGCCAAGGTGGTGTACTTTTATGGTTATGCACTCCCGGGAATCTTGGATGGGGTGCAGAGTCACTATTATCTGATGTTATTTTCTGATATTTTGACATAGTTGCCTCTGTCTGGTTTCTGACTTGCTGCGTATTCTTGTCTCTCGGCTTTCTGTTGTTTACTTGTCCTTGCTCTACTTCCTGCCTCAATTTCCCCATGAGAGACACGATTCCCTTAATTCATTATAGGTTGTTGAAGGCTGATGGTCTCAATTTTCCAGAACTGCTTCCTGCTGAGCACGGACATCATCCCTTACCGATCTTCCCGGGTTGAGGATTGTGGGGTCAGTTGGAAGATGTTGATAT